GCTGCAGAAGCTGGGCAAGGAGGCGGTCTGTCGCGCGCGGGGGAGCCCGCACAGCAGGAATGTCGCGAAGGCGACGGCGTGGATGCTCAAGGAGAGTGGCCAGGTGGGCAAGCTACCAGCGCCTGCGTTTCACAAGGTGCTGCAGGAGTTCGGCACGGCCATCGTGCTGAAGAGCACGGCGACGCAGCTCGAGCAGGTGGTGAAGCAGCTTCGCGGCAGAACGTCGAAGGCCGCAGAGCCGCCGCAGGTCGGGATCCTGGCGAGGAGCGTCAGCCGGCGTGCAGCAGGATCCGCCCTCGGGAACCCGACGTGAGAGTACACCAAGGAACTGGCGAAGGCGGACTCCCCCTCCTCCCCCTCCTCCTCCTCCTCCTCCTCCTCATCTCCTATTACTCTTCCTATTCTTCCTGGAATGACGGCCCCCCCTGAACGGGGCACCCTCCAGCCTGCGCGCCGTGGCCGCTTGGCCGACCCATAATTATGGGGGCAGCGAGGAGGCCTCGGAGCCCGAGGGGCCAACCGGCGTCGTGTATATTTCCCCCCGTTCGCTGACAGGCGATGCTCCGTGGGTGCCTTCATCTGTTTTCCTTCAGGCCCGACTAGCCTCCCGTGGAGCTCATTCGATTCGATTCGGTTCGCTGGTGATGGACAAGAAAAAGGCGTTGATGCTGATGATGATGCTCATGATGACGAGGAGGAGGAGAAGGAGGAGGAGGAGAAGCAGGAGGAGGAGGATGCTGACGGTGATCCCGATCAAGAGGAGGAGGAAAGGAAGGAGGAGAAAGAGGACGAGGAGGAGGGCGACATCCGCAGGATCTTATTCCTATCCATCTACAGTCCACAGGAGTAGGGGGAGGAGGAGGAGGAGGAGGAGGAGGAGGAGGAGGAGGAGGAGGAGGAGGGAGAGGAGGAGGAGGAGGAGGAGGAGGAGGAGGAGGACGAGGAAGGAGGGAGGAAAGAGGAGGAGGTTGCTGATGATGATGTTAATGGTGATGACAAGCAGGAGGAGGAGGCGGAGGAGGAGGAGGAGGGCGACATCCGCGGAATCGTATTGCCATCCATCTACAGGAGGAGGAGGAGGAGGAGGAGGAGCCGGATGAGCAGGTTGTTGATGATGATGATGACGGTGATGACGAGCATGATGATGATGATGATGATGATGATGATGATGATGATGATGATGATGATGATGATGATGATGATGATGATGATGATGATGATGATGATGATGATGATGATGATCAGGAGGAGGAGGAGGAGGAGGAGGAGGAGGTTGTTGATGATGTTGCTGACGGTAATGACGAGCAGGAGGAGGAGAAGGAAGAGGAGGAGGAGGAGGGCGACATCCGCGGAAGTTCTTGCCACCCATCTGCAGTCCACAGGAGAAGGAGGAGGACGAGGTGGAGGAGGAGGAGGAGGTTGATGATGATGTTGCTGACAGCGATTACGAGCAGGAGGAGGAGAAGGAAGAGGCGGAAGAGGAGGGCGACCTTCGCGGGATCTGATTCCCATCCATCTACAGTCTACATGCGGAGGAGTAGGAGGAGGAGGAGGAGGAGGAGGAGGTGCAGGAGGATGTTGTTGTTGATGCTGCTGACGGCGACGACGAGCAGGAGGAGGAGGAGGAGAAGGAGGAAGAGGAGGGCTACATCCGTGGGATCTTATTGCCGCCCATCTACAGTCCACGGGAGGAGGCGGTGGAGAAGGTTGTTGATGATGATGATGATGCTGATGATGATAATAATGATGATGCTGACAGTGATGCCGAGCAGGAGGAGGAAGAAGAGGAGGTGGAGGAGGAGGAGGAGGAGGAGGAGAGGGAGGGGGAGGAGGAGGAGGAGGAGGAGGAGGAGGAGGAGGAGGAGGAGGAGGAGGTTGTTGATGATGATGACGGTGATGACGAGCAGGAGGAGGAGTCGGAGGAGGAGGAGGAGGAGGGTGACATCCGGAATCTTATTGCCATCCATCTACAGTTTAGAAGGGGAGAATGATGAGGAGGAGGAGGAGGGAGAGGAGGAGAAGGAAGAGGAGGAGGAGGAGGGGCAGACGTTTGTTGATGATGATGGTGCTGACGGTGACGACGAGCAGGGGAAGCAGGAGGAGGATGAGGAGGAGGAGGAGGAGGGCGACATCCGCGGAACCTTGTTGCCATCCATCTACAGTCCACAGGAGGAGCACGAGGCGGAGGGAGGAGGACGACGAGGTTGTGGCTGATGATGTTGACGGTGGTGACTAGCAGGAGGAGGAGGAGGAGGAGGAGGAGGAGGAGGAGGAGGAGTGCGACATCCGCGGACCGTATTGCCATCCATCTACAGGCCACAGGAGGAGGCGGATGAGGAGGTTGCCGTTGATGATGCTGACGGTAACAACGAGCAAGAAGAGGAGGAGGCAGAGGAAGAGGAGGAGGAGGGAGTTGGAGGGCGGCATTCGCGGGATCTTATTGTCGCCCATCCACAGTCCATTCCACGGGAGGAGGAGTAGGAGGAGGAGGAGGTTGTTGGTGATGTTGTTGGTGGTGATGACGGGCAGAATGAGGAGGAGGAGGAGGAGGAGGAGGAGGAGGAGGAGGAGGAGGAGGAGGATAGGAGGAGGAGGAGGAGGAATAGGAGGAGGAGGAGGAGGGGCAACATCCGCGAGACCTTATTGGCATGCATCCACAGTCCACGGGAGGAGGAGGGGGGGAGGAGGAGGAGGAGGAGGAGGAGGAGGAGGAGGAGGAGGAGGAGGAGAGGAGGAGGAGGAGGAGCAGGAGGAGGAGTAGAAGGCGGAAGAACAGGAGGGGTTGATGATGATGTTGACGGTGACGACGAGCAGGAGGAGGAGGCGGAGGACGAGGCTAAGGAGGAGGAGGAGGGCGACACCCGTCGAATCTTTTTGCCATCCATCTGCAGTCCACAGGTGGAGGCGGGGGTGGAGGAGGAGGAGGAGGAGGAGGAGGAGGAGGAAGCTAGGGATGATGATGATGAGGAGGAGGAGAAGGAGGAGGAGGAGGAGGAGGAGGAGAGGAGGAGGAGGAGGGCGACATCCGCGGGATCTGATTGCCTACAGGAGGAGGGAGGAGGTGAGGAGGAGGAGGAAGAGGAGGAAGAGGAGGAGGGCGACATTCTTGTACAGCCAACAGGAGGGGAGGAGGAGGAGGAGGAGGAGGAGGAGGAGGAGGAGGAGAGGAGGGGAGAAGGAGGAGGAGGCGGAGGAGGAGGAGGAGGAGGGCGAGATCCGCGGAATCTTATTGCCATCCATCTGCAGTCCACAGGTGGAGGAGGAGGAGGAGGAGGAGCAGGAGGAGGAGGAGGAAGAGGAGGAGGGGGTCGACATCCGCGGAATACTATTGCCATCCATCCACAGTCCACAAGAGGACGGGGAGGAGGAGGAGGAGGAGGAGGAGGAGGGAGGAGGAGGAGGAGGAGGAGGAGGAGGAGGAGGAGGAGGAGAGGAGGAGGAGGAGGAGGAGGAGGAGGAGGAGGAGGGAGGGCTGCATCCGCGGAAGATTATTGTCATCAATCTACAGATTACAGGAGAAGGAGGAGGAGGAGGAGGAGGAGGAGGAGGAGGAGGAGGAAGAGGAGTGGGAGGAGGGCGACATCCGCGGAATCTTATTGCCATCCATCTACAGTCCACTGCAGGAGGATGAGGAGGAGGAGGAGGAGGAGGAGGAGGAGGAGGAGGAGGGAGGAGCAGGAGGGCGACATCCGCTGGATGTTTGTGCCATCCATCTACAGTCCACATGAGGAGGAGGAGGAGGAGCAGGAGGAGGGAGGAGGAGGGCGACATCCGCGGGATCTGCTTGTCACCCATCTTCAGTTCCACAGGAGGATGATTATGATGATGAGGAGGAGGATGGAGGAGGAGGGGGGAGGATGAGCAGGGAGGAGGAGGGAGGAGGGAGGAATAATCACGCGAGGACGGAAGGAAGGAGGCGGCGGCAGAGGCACGCAGGCCCGTGTGCGTGTGGACCCGACCTCCTCGGGACCGTCGGGGAGAGGTCCAGGAGGTTCGCCTGCAGCGCTTGGTTCGCCGCGAGGAAACCACGAGGAGGAAGGAGGGGGGAAGTCAGATGCAGGCGAAGGGGTCTTTTGCAGCGGGTGTCGAAGATGTACGCCACAGTTCGTGCAGTCGTTCTTGCTGGATCGTGCTGAATCTGCGGGCAGAATGTGTTGCATTTGGCATCGTGGGTCCGTGAGAGCGACCACGCGCCATGAGCCACAGGATGAGCTAATGAATTTTTGTGTTCCTATGACGAAGGCCCCCCTGTGCCTGAAACCGAAAAATGTGGATCGATTATAAGTGGTTCGTTATCTGCCGCCTCGGATCTTGAGCCTCCGAGGTCCCCAGAGGCTTCCGGAAGTCTCCCAAGGCCTCCGAAAGCCTCACACAGGCTTTCAGAGTTCTTCTCGCTGTGAACGAGGAGCATGCGGAGCAGGGGGAGCCTTTGCCTAGCGCGGCGCGCCGCCGGTCGTGCCCTCTCCACGCTCGGGCGCGGTATTCCAACCGCGTCCCAGTCCACAAGCGTCAACGCTCCCAGCTTTCCCAGGCGTCTCGTCCCGCGGAGCGGAGCGACGCGCCATGCGCTCGCAAGGTACGGCGTTTTGCAGGGGCCGCCGCCGCGATAGGCTGAGCAAAAGGGAAATCCTATTGATTCTCTTTCGGCGCCAATTTCTAGTCGAGTCCGACTCAAATCGACGGACGTTCGATGCAGCCAGCATCGACGTACGAGTGAAGCGAGTGGCTCCAGGGGAGGCTTGTTTTACCCCTGGGATGGGTCAGGGACTGCGGCCCGCAGGCCAGAGGGATTCCTGAGAGCCGGCGGTCAGGCTTGCGCAAGGCTGGCTGGCGCAAGGCTGGCTGGTTTCAAGGAGGCAGGCCTCCGAAAGAAACTGCCACACCAGAATCAGATCCAGACGAGTGTGGATCCACGCGGCTCCTGCACACGAGCAGAAGGGGATAAAGAATGCGCGGGCGGTGCTATACTTTCGACAGTAAGCCGTAGCGGCGGCGGCGACATGTCGCATCGAAGCATCGAAGCCCCCCCGCCGAGGCGGCGGCAGCAGCCCCTCCGCGCCCAGGGTGCTCGGCGGGCTGCGAGGGCACCACGGCGCGGCGGCGGGCCCAGCGGCCAGCCTGCCAGCCGCGCCGGAGGCGGCCCCGCCTGGCCGCCCCCCGTGGCTGCACAGTGTCGCCTGCCACCGCGTCGCGCGGGCGCCCCAACACCCCCCCCCCTCGAATCGTGAAAACATCACGACCCCGGCGATCCTGACGGCTCAATTTTTCGAGCTGGGCGTCCTCGCACGGCTTCGGGCCCTGGGGTACCCTCACAGATCGATGCAGTCCTAGGCCCCCGGTCGTGTTTTCTCGCGGTGTTGCGGTTTTCTGCACTGTCGGCTCCCAGGGGCCGACGGTTTTTTGTTATTTCCAGCCTTTGTGAGCCCTTACCGGGCCTCGGGTTTGTCACAAAAGCATTCAGGATGGACAGGCGGTCTTGGGCAAGGAAGGTGTCGAGACCTCTGGGGGGGTCGACGTCATAAGCAAAAACCATGAAGTCGGGGGCCTGGTGCCACCACAGCCGTCGTTGTCGCCGCCGCCGCGGCCGCGGCCGCTGCCACCACCGCTATCCTCGCCGCCGCCGCCGCCGCCGCCGCCGCCGTCGTCGTCGTCGTCGTTGTCGTCGTCGTCGTCGTCGTCGTCGTCGTCGTCGTCGTCGTCCCAGTCGTCCTCGTCCTCGTCCTCGTCCTCGTCGTCGTCGTCGTCGTCGTCGTCGTCGTCGTCTTGGGATGGCTTGCTCGCTCCCGAAGTCGGCAGCGCCGGGCCCGCTGGAGCTGATCTGCCAGCGGCCGCGGGCGCTCCTGCAGAGGCGGTTCCTGAGCTCCGAGGACCTCGGTCCTGGGCCCTCGCTCCTCGACCCTCCTCCGCCCTCCCCCGCCCTGCGGTTGTCGGGCACCTGTCGGCCTCTCCTCCTCCTGCGCCTCTCCCTGTGCTCCCCTGTGCGCCGCCATATCGGCTCACAAGGGCCCTTGACCTATCATTGCGCGCCAGTGACGGGCGCGCCCACGCCTCCGTAACAAAAAAACGAGAACGTGCTGTCTTCTAGCACGGGTTCCCCCATGTGTACCTCGTGCCCCTCTGTATCCATGCAGTCGCTCCCGTACAACCCACAGGGGTAGTGGAGCTTGTGTTTGAGATCCACGAGGGGAGTCAGGACGACTCCCCTGTCATTCGGTTCTCGGGCGACATACTGTTTACTCTTCCCCCGTCCTTCCCGCTTGTATCCCCATGTTACCGAGCGCCGCCATGGATTCTTCAATTGACGCTCAGTTTCAAGAGTATGAACTTCCAGCAGGTCCTTGGTTACAACCAGATCAGGCTCTTGGGCACGAGCTGGAGGAGGGCAGGAGTCGGAGCCGGAGCCGGAGTCGGAGAGATGGAAATCGGCAAAGGAGAAAACGACCATAGGGTGCGGAGAGACAGGAGCCGGAGTCGGAGAGACAGGGGCCGGAGTCGCAGATCGAGGTGGGGGCCGGAATCGGAGAGGTGGCAGCCGGAGTCGGAGAGATGGAAGCTGGAGATGGAGAGATGGGAGTCGGAGTCGGAAAATGGGAACCAGAGTCGGAGTGGTGTGAACAGGAGTCGGGGAAACGACCAGGGTGGGCAGAACACGTAACGCTGGAGTCGGGGGCGCACTCCACATCCAAAGGTTGTAGTGGGCGTAGGCGTATTGCATAACATCAGATTCTCGATCCCTCGATGTTTGTTGATCTGCTGCAACTGATAACCATTGGTTGTTGTGTTCCTGGTCGTCGCGGTCTTCACACATGCCTTCGGCGCGTGAGAAGTGCATGTTGTCGTCTGCCCATCGCTTTCGTTGAACTCCATGCCGCCGGTGCGCTGGGCGCGGGTCGTGTGCGCGTGGTTTCCATGAGGCAGCGAACACAGTCCATCTGGAACAACCCATTCTTCCGCTTGGGCTCGGGAAGCATGGTCCGTGGCTTCGCGCGTGGCTCGTCGAATGTAGTCGGCCCATGGTTCCTTTCCGTCATCATTCCTCTCGTCGCTGTTGTTGGCTGTGTAGTTTGGGTTGTTTGCTGTGTCGGCGTCGGTCATGTTGTGGTGGCGGTCGTCGTCGGAGGTGTCGGGCGCGTGCTGGTGTTGTTCGTTGCGTCTCCGCGGTACTCCCGTGACAAGCCTGAACATTTTCCGTTGGACGCGCCTGAGAATAATGAGCATCTCCTTTGTCAGAGTCCAGGATGAGCAGCCGTACGCGGATGGCGTGACAGTGCCATCGAACAACCTCAGTCTATTACGGAGCGGGAAGCGTTTGTTGGTCAATCCGTAACGAAGCTGATTGAAACGGGCCCACCCTGCGGCAATCTTGTTGTGCAGCTCTGTGTCATGAAATTCATGAAAAGTGAGCTTTCTTCCCAAGTACTTCGTTCCGTGGTTAAAATGTAGGATGCTGATGCTGTCGCCGTTGATGTCGACATGTGTGATTGTTCTCCCCTCTCTCCGGCTAATGTTCGTCAGGATCTTCGTCTTTTCCGGATGTAGTAAGAGACCACATTTAGTTGCGTGGACTTGCACGCCTCGAAGTAAGCAGGTGAGCTGTCTTAGGTTGGTGGCGTACAACAACACCTCGTCGGCGAAACGCAGATTTGTAGTCCGCGCTCGCGCGGAGACGCCAACGTGGATCCCGCATTTCTTATGCAACCAAACAGGTTTCATTTGTCTGAACACGTGCTCTAGGACGGCGTTGAAAAGGAAAGAGCTCAGCTGGTCTCCATGTTCAACGCCCCATTCGATATTGAAGGCGCTGCTGTTGGAATCCGTCCGAACTGTACCAGTTTGGGTGCAATATAAGTGTTTCAGGAAGGTGGTGTAGGCGGGATGTGGATATTGCTGTCGTAGAGAGCCCCACATACAGTCGTGGTCAACACAGTCAAACGCTTTGTTGAAATCTATTGCGGCGGCCCAGAGCGGCAGCTGCCATTCGTAAGAGCTCTCATGAAGCATTGTTGTGGTGAACAAGTGGTCCTCTGTGCAGTAGTTCTTGCGGGAACCTGGTTGGTCTGGGCATTGTTGCGAGTCGAACATCAGTTTATACAGCAGAGGGATGATGGCAATTGGTCTGTAATTGCCCGGTTGTTTGGGGTCACCAGACTTGTGAATTACAATGATGGTGGTGCTCTTCCATTGGTCTGGCGGGTGGCGATCAGGCTTGATGGTGTCGTTGTATAGCCGAAGTAAATTGCAGTGTAAGGTGGCGCCGCCTGCTTTGAGTAATTCTGCCGTGAGCCCAGCGGTGTCGCTGCACCTGCCGTTCTTGAGCTGTTTGATTGCTTGGTGGAGCTCGCTTGCTGTGAAAGGCGGGATGGTCGAGTCGTTGTGCGTCTGCAGGTGGGCGTTGCCGGTGTTGGCTACGCGGTGCGGGTTCTTGTACAGTTTCTAGTAAAAAGTCGCAAATACGTCTGCTATGCTTTGTCTATCTGTCTCGTCAATACCTTCAGCTGTCGTCATTGATGGGATCATATCTTTGATCTTGCTGGTTTGCCCAGATATTTTCTTCAGTCCTTTGAATTGGCAGACAATATCCTCGAGCTTGGCATTCATCTCGGCACGCTTGATGGCCCTTGTACGTCGAAATATTCGTTTGCTAAGGGATCTTCGTGCAGTTGTGTCTCGTGGTGCGGTTTCGCGTCTTTGTTGGATGAGTGCCTTGAGACGTGCTGTCGGTCCGTCGTTGGCGTATCCTTGAAGGTCTCCGGCTGATTTCTCCTGGTGTTCTTGGTAATCCTTACTTGCAAGCTTGAGCCCGTCCCCAATGTCATGGTACCTATTGATCTGGGAATCGCAACTGGAGCCCGAGACCCCATCTCTCTGCGGGGCTTTTCGAGCTATATGCACGAAACCGGGCGAATTTGCCCAGGGTGAAAAAATGCACCCCGTAGATCTCAGAGGCGAGATCCACTGCCTTGATTTGTTCAGCACGGGGTCGCCGGAAGTCCCGACCTTTCCCTCGGGCCCGGCTTTTCATCTGTGGTGGTTTCTAGATGGTCCCCAGAGGCAGAAAACGGCGAAAAGCCCCCATCATTTTGTTTCCAATAATGCGTTCGAGGTCAGGGGAGGGACATCGTTCCAGAGCGTGCTGGAAAGTTCTCAGAGCGTCCCAGAAACGCTCTGGAACGGCCGCGGCACCTGATACAGCCTCCGGACCCACCGGTTCTCAGAGACCTCCGATCTATCTCGATCTGATGTTGTCCCGATCTTGGTTTCGTCTTAGATTTACCATGAGATCCGACGTAGCGAAAAAGTAGCAGCATCGCAAAACATCACCGCCAGAGCTCTGTAAGAACCATACCCTCCTGAGCCATTCGTCGAGCCGCATCGACCCGTCATGGCCCCGAGGCGCGACAAACAGGGCGAACATGCCAGCTGAGCGACGGCAGGACACAGGGCCGCCTTCCTCGGCACTGGCGCAGAGGCCGCCCGCGCAAGGACGCGCGCAGGCCCCCTCGTTTCCAATGGCATATGCCGCGCTGGCAGCCTGCGTGCGCCACCACGTAAGGTCGCTGTGCCATCTCGCGTCAGATCCGTTCCTTGCTGTCGCTCAGGCGTGACCAGATCCCAAACATGCGACGCCCTGTTTCGTTCCATACGGGTTCCCTGGAAGTCCCGACCCTTACCCCAGGGCCGTTGTTTCGTCGTGAGTCGGTTTTTGACGGTCCCGAGGCCTGACCAGGGCCCCCCGAGGCCGAAGCTGGCCAACAACCTCCCGTCCCGAATTCTTCTCCGACGCGAGCGTGCCTGGGACACTTTTGCCACGCCCTCATTTTACCAGCCTGGAACATATCCCTATCCCTATGCTGGGCACCTGCTCATCCTGATGCCAATCTTAGGGATTCACTTATTTTTTGAGGGCGAATCCATAAGATTGTCATCGCCTTTTGGCGTGTCAATCTCAGGGATAGGGATACGTTCGAGGCTGGTAATCATCTCAGGGGTCGTCTTCGCTCCACGCCGCCGGCCGCCGCGGGCCTCCGCGGCCCGGCCGGGCGCGGCGCGGCCCGCGCCCCGCGGGGCGCCGCGCGCGAGGAGTGCCGCCGGCTGATCGACATGACGCTCGGCCGGCAGCGCTGCGGCAGCGTCTTCGAGAAGAAGGCTCGTTCGCCGCTGGAGGCGTGGGGCGGCCTGTTCGTCTTGTCGCAGTCGTCGTCTTCGTGGTCGTCGTCGTGGTGGTCGTCGTCGTCGCCGTCGTGTTTTGTCTTCGTCTGCCACCCTCGTCGATCGTCGTCGTCGTCGGTCGTCGTCGTCGTCGTGTGGAAGCGTCACGACGTAATATGGGAGTCTAGGGGGTTACCGCTGTGAAGACATCACGACGTATGGGAGTCTAGGGTCGTATTCGTCGTCGTCCTCCTTCTCCCACTCGTAAGATTCGAGATCGCTCGGGTTTGCCGACGCTTTTGGATGAGCGCGTCCTGGATTTTGACGTCCCAGTGTTCGTTGAATGTTTGCACTGGGAGCTTGCGTCAAATCTTAGATTGGGTCTAGTCATTTTCATGATGGCCCCGTCAGGCCAACCCGAGTCCCCCAAACCCGAGTCTCGTTTCTACCCGATCTTCATTCGCTGGTTCTTGGAGAGTTCGCGGTAACCCGCCAGAGCTTGCTAGCCCCAGGGGACCTCCACGAGCTTTCCTCCCCGCGCCTCCCTCCTCGCCTCTCCGAGACCTCCTTCCTTCCCCCGCCCGCCCATACCCCAATCTGCCTGCTCTAGCAAGAGATCGACTACAACATTGAGTTACCCCCAGCATGGTTTGTTTGTCGAATATTTGAACAATGCGCTGAATGTTCGTAGATCTACGAACATTCGACGTATTTGTTTTACGGATTCGGCGTAACAAGCGAGTCTGGGGCAAGTCAATTCTTGAGTCGATGTCCTATTCGACCTGCGTGTTCCATCTCTTTCCCTCATGAATCACTCCTTCCTGTTGCACCCGGAGGCGTGTCCGCAGGGCGGACCTGGAGTTTCGCCTGAGGCCTCCCCCTCATGTGAGAAGCTTAAGCTTCGGATATGCAACGGCTGCACGCATGGAGGGCGGGCCGTTTTCGAAATGTGGCTCTCGCCTTAGCGCCGCGCGCATTCGTCTCAGAAGATTGCAAGAGCTTCACGGCTGTAGGGCGGGTGGTTTGCAATTGTATGTTCTCTCCTTAGTGCTGCGCACGTTCACCCTAAACGTTTCTAAGCACTTCACGCATGGAGGGCGATTACGTTTCAAAATGTTGCTCTCGTTTTAGCGCCTCGCACATTCGCCTTCAGAGTTTGAATCAGGTTTTTAGGATTCTTGTGGTTGACGTCCCGGACATTGGACGTAGGACTGCCAGGGTGCAGTAGTCAAGTTGATTCGCGGTGTTGAAGTCCCAGGAATGGCGCTCTGATGCGACTCAGTATCCTCAGGGCGTCGCGGCGTTGAAGTCCCAGGAGTGGTGTTCGGGCACGGTTCGAGGTGTTCGGACGGTTGTCTTCCAACGGGGCCTTTCCTTGAGTGAGCGACCGACGAGGAAGGAACTTGGAGGGAGGGTTTGTTGCAATATCCTTGATTGGTCTTGCGTTTACACTGGTCCTCCACCCCCCGCCTCCCTCCTCCTTCCTCGTCCTCGTCGTCCTTCTTTCCGTGGCCGTCGTCGCCGCCGCCCTCCTGCCCAGAGGTGTCGGACCCCCGGTGGGATCCCGAGCAGCGCGCCTTCCTGGAGCGCATCGAGGCGCGCCTGGCCGCGATCATGGGCGGCCCGGTGCACGCCGACGAAGACGCCCTGGCGGCCCCCTCGGAGAGCCCTCGACCTGTACCTTCCGCACCTTCCGCGCGGCAGGTGCCGCGCTGCCGCGGCAACGGCCGCGGCCGAGGCGGCGGCCACCGTCGAGGCTAGAGCGGCGGCCGCGGCGGCCGTCCCTGCCGCATCGCCGCGGCACCTTCCGCGCGAAAGGTGCGGAAGGTGCAGGTCGAGGGGGGCTGGGCGCCAACGAACCCAGATCTCCAACGACGTGGCCGGTTCAATCCAGGCGTCCTCTCCTCGATGCCGGCCTCTCGTGGCCCGTTGCCGGGCCCCGCGGCCGTCCATCCAGAACGAGAAAAAAAGCGCCGCCGGGGCATGGGCTGTGGGAGAGCTCTGATGGCCGCGGCTCGGTCGGCCCCGGCAGCGCGAGACGCTGTGAGGGGAAAGTTGGCGCCAGGGAAGGGGCTCTCGATCATCCCTGGTGGTCCCGCTCCCCCCCCCGCCCTGCATTCCGCGGTCGCCAGATCCCCGGGCTCCCGATAATCCTTGGTGGTCCCGCCCTCCCCCGCCCTGCATACCGCGGCGGCCAGATCCCCAGGCTCCCGATAATCCCTTGTGGTCCCGCCCCCGTGCCGACTCGCCCACTCTGCAGACTGCAGCCACCAGATCCCCAGTTCCCCCGATAATCCCTGAGGGTCCCGCCCCCCGCGCCAACTCGCCCACTCTGCATACCGCGGCCACCAGATCCCCAGGTCCCCAATAGAACAGTGCATAACACCACACCGCCGAGCATAACAGACCCGAGCATGTCATACCATATCATGACAGGCCATATCGAAACATAACACACCATGACAGAGCACATCATCACAGCACATACCATTCCATAATATGACAATCACGCATACTATAACAATTCAACGCGTAACTGAACATACCAAGACAGAGCACGCCACATCGTCACATAACATGAACTGACATTTCATAGCACAGCGCAGCGCAGCAGCTGACAGATCGGAGCACACATACTCTAACATAACAGAGAACACCGCACCATGGCAAACCATATCATTACAGACTATACGACGGCAGAACAAGCCTCAATTTAACACAACATCACAGTACATACCATTACATACCAAGCCAAACCATATCATGGCATAGCTGGACACAATATGCTATAACATAGCAAAACATAGCATGGTAACACCATAGGCTATGCCATAATTGGTCACAAAGAACGTACCATTACTTCACACCTCACAACACAACTTGCGACATGGCCCGACCGCCTCACTGGCCGAGACCACCGCGCCCCGCGTACATCGTTCCAATGAGCGCGCGCACCTTCGGGATTGAACGCCGCAGGTTTCGGTGGGGGTTGCTCGACGCCGAATCATTTTAGCTTTCAACAAGGACCTCTGCAGGGATGAGTTGAAGGGCAGACCATGGACCCGTCTCGACAGTCACCCCTTGACTCTCAAACAGCCCTACTTGCTTCCCTTCCAGAGTCAGCTTCCAATGGTCAAGGATGTGACGTGTATACGACGGTTGTTGAAAGCAGGTACTTTCTGGTTTCCAATCCCAATCTACTTCAGCTGCCTTCCTACTTCAAGAGTCGAGCGGTTTTCCCTCTTCCCCCGTCTTCAGGGTGTGTGCGGCGGCCCAATCTACTTAGAGCGCATTTCTACTTCATGTTTCTACCCACTTCTTCCGACCGACGGGCAGGTTGCCCTCGCCTGCGGCGGAGGTGGCCAAAAGAGGTCGAGGGAGGAGGGACAGACCGAGGAAGAGGCGCACGCCCAAGGTGGGGACGCTGACGCCCCCTGGGGGCGAGGAGAGCATCGCGGACCACCTGGGGCTGCACGTCGACACCAACGCTGCGCCCTGGCGGTTCTGCACCGCCATCATCTATGCCCCGGGCGCCTGCGCGGCAGATGTCGCCGCCCGCCGCCCCTAGCCCGCGGCGCTCGACGACCGACGACGGCGGCGAGGAGGTCCACGACGACCACGACGACGACGACGACGACGACGACCACGACGACAACCACGACGACGACGCCGACGACGACGACGACGACGACGACGGCGCTGTGGCGGCTCTGCACCGCCATCATCTGTATCCCGCTGGTGCGGCCGCCCGCCCCTCTCTGCGGCGCTCGGCCGACGGCGGCGACGACGACGGCGACGGCGACGGCGGCAGCGCTCGGCCACGCGCAGAAGGGGGGCGGGAGGAGGGGGGAAGGCTTCTCAGACGCACCCCTGCCTCTTTGAAGCGGCGGGCCTTGTCTGTTGATGTAGGGCCCGCGCCTTCTAGGAAGCAGCCTCCTTCTTAGAAGCCTTCCCCCCTTCCCCCCCACCCCCTTGTGCGCGCCGAGACGACGGACGGCGTTCCAGGTCGGGCCTCTCCTTCAAGGGCTCGAGGAGCTGGCGTTCCTTTCGCGGCGGAAGGTCGGCGAAATCGAAGAAGAAGCAACGCC